AATGAGGTTGGAGTGGGCAGGGGAGAGGTTGGGGGTTGGGTGTGAATGGGTAATTTGCCGGGGAGAGTGGGAGGGAGGGAGGAGAAAAAAAAGGAAAATTAAAATGTTTATTTGTTGAGAAGAGGGGTGGAAGAGTATGGCAACTGGGGACTTGGGGGAGGGGGGGGGAGGGATTGTGGAGAGGTAGAGTAGGGAGAAGTATGAAAAAAAAGAAGAAAATATTTGTTTGCTTGAGAAAATTGACAGATGAGGGAAGGGCATTGAGGAATGAGCAGAGAAACGTGTCACAACGCGAAGCGGTGCATGTGTGTGTGTGCGTGTGTGTGTGATGCGACGCGGTGGAATCAGGCACTCGTCAATTCTTGAGCATAAGGAGTTACTGCTATCACCTTAAAGCTTGTTCCTTTCCCTTGCTTTGGATGAAAAAGATACTCATCTATCTAGAATAGAAGTTGAGATAATTGAGAATGAAGGAGATGGGAGTTGCCAGGAGTTAGACGCAAAATTAGCAGGAAAATGGCCACCAAAATCGGGCGTCTTCCCTCTAAAATCAGAGAGTGTCTTTGGGAAAGGAAAAGATCTTAGGGACTGTTCAAATATAATCTTACACCTTTTTGGGGACTTTTTGGGCGCCCCCCCCCCACACATTGCCCTCACCTCTTAACCCCCCCCCCTCCCCCGTCCCCATAATATTACATTGTTCGTTAATAATAATAATATGACATTTATATTACCCAAATTCGTGTTACAATCATTGCTCTATGCGCTTTACAGAATATTCAAGAAAAATATGCATACACACATCATGCACATTATAATAATACATTTAGTTCTACATTCACTAAAAAATAATAGAGTAAATCATTCAAGCAAAATATTGCATACACTCTTTCTAGCTAATAAGGGAAAATATTGATACTCATGTCACTGTGAAAAGAGCCTAAATTAGAAATAAAACAAATTACAATAGAATTCGGATAAAGTCAACACTTCGGAACTGAAAAATAGTGTAATATTACATTGGCTCATGATCACCACTTTCTTACACATTTCTTACAAGAGCCAAAGACCCCCCCTCCCTCTCCCC